GCCCATACTGTAATACTCCATAATTCGATTATTTGATTTAAGGTTTGAGATTTTCAAGAAAACAATTGAATTGATTTGCGACGATTATAATAGTCATAAGAAATATTTCGTTTGTCCTGCAACCAAACACACGGAGGTTTAAAAAAAATTAATTAAAAATAGTGCGTCTGCACGTCTGCGTGCGGGAGTGGAAGTAAGAATTTCTGGGGAAGTCGATTCATAAATTATACAAAACAGATAAAAATGAACTCCCCCACACTTAGACGGGAATGAATTTGAAAGTAAAACAATAACATTATAATTAAATCCCAACCGACTGAGAAAAAAAAACCGCATGCAGACAAAGCTGTTTCTCTTACAAGCACTCTTTTACGAAGAAAATCGTATCTGCAGTAGAAGTCCGTGATTCGTGCCAGAACAAAATCAAAACAAAAGGAGAAGGCGAAGGGTAGCGAAGTAGATCGAGCACTCTCTTGTAATCTGTTTGGTAAGTTGATACGTTCATTTTTGCAGGTTTCTAAATTCAAATCCTACTAGATCTATGCTGAGCCCTATACTTCTGCTTTATTAATTACAATGCAGACTTTTGAGAACGATGGTGGCCTAATTGAGCGTCCTGAGAAAGAAACGATTTCTCCATCCATTGTCTACGGTCACCCAGTCACTGAATCAGTTTCTTCTATGATAACTTCTGAACAAGAAGAACAGAGAAATCTCAGTTCAAGTATTTATGTTAAGTTAAAGCAGTCCCCAAAGTATTGCTTAATCAATCTATGCCACTTAGATCTCTATGTCACAACTGAATGCTTTCATTAGCCTATAGACCCTAGAATTTTTATTTTTTTAAGTTAGGCTAAATTTTTATTATTTTAAACTTTGACAGCGGCGATTGTGTCACGAAACGCTCGTCAATTTTTGGGCATGTGGAGTTATTGGTATCATCTTAAAGCTTGTTTATTTGTATTGCTTTCAATGAAAGAAAGCCATCTATCTTGAATAGAAGTCAAGATATTTGCGATCAGAGGGTCTCTGAATGCCGTTACACCAGGCACCTAGAATCTAGATCTAGTCTCAGTATCTACGTACATGGTAACCGGGCACCTAGTCTCAATATCTACGTTCACAGTAACTGTAATGAAAATAAATCAATATTTGTCCTATGCTGTCATTTGCTGAAGAAAAAAAAAGAAAGTCATACAAGAAGCATCTTGTCCCTATCGCCATCGTGACCCGACAGTGAACCTATGCATGTGCATCACATTGTGAGTACCGGTTGGGGTCACCAAAGTTCATTTAAAGTCTGTGCGCTGCGAAGTATAGGGCTCCGGAATGGGGGATTTTTTTTTTTTAAAGGTACAGTCGGGGGAGGGGTGGGGATGAAGGCAACACCGGATGACAAAAACTGAACGGAGTTCTGAACGGCCCGGTTACCGTGTACGTGACACTGAGACTACGTGCCCGGTTACTGGTTACCGTGTACGTAGACATTGAGGCTACATGCCCGGTTACCGTGTACGTAACACTAAGACTACGTGCCCGGTTGCTGGTTACCGTGCATATAGACACTGAGGCTAGGTGCCCGGTTACCGTGTACGTAGACACTCCGATTTGCGATTGTAGGAGGAGGGGTCGCCCAGTTTCAGTGGTAAAAATAGGGAGGAAATGGCCAACAAAGTTTGACAATTTCAATTGCAAGAGAGTCCCTGATAACGATAAAATTACATATTTTGTGCCTTTAATCAATGTTTTTCTGTGAAATTTACATGGAAATGTGTTTTTACATGGACACGAAAGGTGCTGAGACAAAAAACGAAAATTCGATAAAAATTTCCAAAGTGGTGGAAAAGTGCCAGTTTCTTCAAATTCATTATTTTGACAAGCGCCTGATTTCACAACGATGCCTCACAATTTTCTCGCTTGTTTTACTCTTGACACCAGACGACCCCCACCTCTTCAGTTGCAAATATCAACCTAACTGTGTTGCAAGGGGCCATAAGCCTATACAGCGCTGCTCATTTATTTTCTTACTTTTATTTTAGAGCCATGGTTGGTTGCTTGATACTGAGATTCTTGTGTGGGGTCATAAGTGTATGTTCTCATTCGGATGAGAGCAAATTTGCATGTTTCAGTATTTCAGCTGCTTTTAGTGTTTAGTTTTTTTGAAGTCCTGCTGTAAGGTTTCTGCCAAGACTGAAGAAACTCTGGTCAGTGTAAAGAATTAGATATTGCAGACAGTGAGCTTTTGTTTTATTCGTTCTTTGAAAATGTGTTGAATTTTGTTCTCTTTGTCAGGGCAACAGTACAAGCCTCAAAAACTCAGCGAGATGTCAGCGGTACGTTTGTCTCTGGAGAGGGAGCCAGGTCATGCTTCACGACATCCGGCACCCGTCGATCCCCTGAAATCTCTTGGAGTCTCTGCTCTCAAGACTTTACAACCAGATGGGAACTTTTTTTCCGACTGCACAAGCCCTAGAACTCCTCTTGACTCAGAATCAAATGCTATCCGCATGAGATCAAATTCTTCGAAAATTCAAACTGACCCACAGAAATCTGTGGACTGGAAACAGCCCGAGTCTGGACACAGAGTTGCTGGTTCCGATGTAGGTTCTTTTCCTCTAAACATGAACCCGACACAAATGGCGATACACACCGAGACTGAAAAGCTGGCCAGAATCTGTGGGACCTTCCCTGAAAGAAGCAGGGTTTCTCTAGTGAATTTCCCCTATGGAGAGGTTTCACCCAACTGCGTTTCTTCTCCTAGAGAATCCTTGACACCGTCCCGTAGAGGACGAGGGCGGAAGATCCTCGGGGCGAGGGCTCCACCGTGTAAAGACACCCAAGTGGCAACTCAAACTCAAACTCAAACCATGAACCCTGAGAGCCAAGCCCCGGATTCGCTCCTCCTCATCAAACAAGCAGTGCAGAACTTTTATGGCGGAGGAGCTGCCGCTGCTGCGGAAACACTTCCTGATTCATCCCACCATGACCATACCCCTCTTTATGTTGCCGACCTAAAGAAAACCCTTCCACCTGTACCGGAGGTTAAGAGGTCACCTGTTTCTGGGGGCCCAGAGGTCAAGGTGTCACCTATTTCAGGAGTCTCTGCGGTCAAGATGTCACCTGTTTCTGGCGTCTCAAAAGTCAAGATGCCACCAGTTTCCGGGGGTTCTGATGCCAAGATATCATCTATTTCTGATTTTGGGGCCTCTGGGTTCTCAAAGTCACTGACTGAGCCTAGATATAATGTGAAGACATCGGAAGAGCCAAGGGACATGCGAAATACCAACAAGTTTACTCAAATGGGAGCTTCTGCAGCTACAGGCACATCCACATATCCAAAAACACCCGATCACATGACACGTAAGATGGCCCCTAGTGGGTCTGGGAATCCTTCGCCTGCTTCTAATGCATGCACTTGTGTCCGCTCTTCAAAACTGATCCTGTGTCAAACGTGCGGAGAGACCATGCATGGGCGAGTGCGTCGAGTATGTCCCGTCCACCCATCCCAGATATTCCTTATGGATTTTGAGTTTTGTGGCAAATGTAAATGTAAGAATCTCAGAGAGATCTGTTCTACGCCCAGAGCATAAGTCATAAGGTTTATAGTGACTATCATCACTGTCATACATCAAGGTTACGTTGTGGGTAATTTAAGTTTTGAAAAGTGAAGGCGTTGGTTAGCTTTACTTTGTACATTGTTTTTAGTTTAAATATTTCAAATTCAGGATGACTGAAAGTATTGAATCTTCCAATTATGCTTTGTCAGTGGATGCATGATGTCCTTAAATTAGAAAAACCCATATGTGCAATCCATATTTGAATCTCTTCTGGTAGTGTGGGCATTCCACTCATACTCCATATATATATATATATATCCACTGGAAGTCATGTCTACACTGATCTAAAAATAATGAGTTTTATTACAGTACATTTGATCTTTCATGGATGCAAAGTTAACTCTTGAGCACTCTGTTGTTCCTGAGCTTTTGGCTGTAGACTCTATGTTGTGCCGGGCACAGTAGAATCGGGCGCTTGTCAATTTGGGGGCACCCTCCCCTGGGGTGATGCCGCTTACTGAAGTGTCATTAGGCCATTCCCAAAGGGGGGACATTAACTTGTTCTTATGCACAGTAGAATTGTAAATGGGCTGATTCAAGGTCATGCTCATAACTGTGCCTGAGCTGCAACAGGGAACTGCTGCTTTTTCTTTCCTAGTCCTTGCTATCGTCATTTTTCCTCTACTTCTTTTTAAAAATGTTTGTCGCACTCTTGTGACCCGCTGCTTCCGGGATGCCTTGATAGTCGAAGCAGACTTTGTGCTGTTGAAGCTAGAGGGGTGAGCAGAGTAAGCCTGATTCCCTGTAAGGACTTCTCTGTTGACATCCACCCCTTGGCGCTCATATGACCTTATGTATTCGTGAGTGCCTTAAAACCTCTACTAGAACATAAACATAAACAAATTTTGGGGCAAATTGAGTTATTAGTATCAACTTAAAGCTTTTTCATTTGTCTTACTTTTTGATGAGAGAAATTATACCCATCTATCTTGAATAGAAGTCGACTGGTTTCAGAGGTAAAATTAGCGAGAAAATGGCCTCCAAAGTTCCGTAACGTTCATAGATTGAGAGCCCTTGGGAACATAAAATATACATCTTTTGTGCTTTTACTCAAGTTTTTCCAGTAAAAACCACACCAAAATGTGTTTGGTTTTGAGCAAAAAAAAGTAAAATTGGATGAAAATTGCCAAACCAACGGAAAATTGCCAGTTTCTTCGATTTCATTATTTTGACAAGCGCCTGATTTCACCATGATGCCTCACATATTGATCTACAACTTGCCAGCCTGATAGTGATACACAATGTCAGATGCGCGCATTTGTTCTCTTTATCTGTCTATCTGTGTCTGTCTGTCTGTCTCTCTCTCTCTCTCTCTCTTTCTCGCTTGCTCGCAACCCCCATTCCACGTGGGTGGTTGGTGGGCATCACTGGTAGGTCCTCTCTCCTTTCTTTTCCCTCTCTTGTTTTTGTTTTTTTCCCCCTTTACACTGACCATTATTGTGTCTATGTGCTCTTCTTGTTACTCTAACAATGCTGAATAAATGTGTGTCACAAGTGCATGCATCATTTTCAGAACATCAGGAATTGCAACATTAATGTCAAACTTCGTTGTACCACCCCCTAATATACCACCAGCCCTTCTTACTGCCAGGTTTTGCCAGTGTACGAAAAGGAGCACCTACGAGAGGCATACCAAAAGTTTTTTACCTGACCATGAAGGGATAACAGTAGAAAGCTGAAACTTGGTACTAAGCTTAGTCTTTCTTTATGCTATGTAGTCGCCTCCCAGAGTTATACATGTTTGCCATCTGTGTATGACCTTGAAAAGACCTTGAGAATAGAGAACCCTCTCTATTTCAGAAAACCAGCCCTCTCACACTTCTTTGACCTCACCATCTCTTTTTATACACCAAAATTTTATCACAGCATAGGATGGACAATCAGTTCCATATACGGCATGCATCTCTGTAAAAATATCCTGCAGTTGCTTGCCTTGCAAGATCAAATACTTCTTTACTGCACTGTGCTCAATTTTCTCCATTTTTATTTTGAAACTGGAGAACAACATACCCCCATTTACTTACAGTGCGCTGGTGGTAAAACCAGTAATTTGAAATTCCCCCAAATTTACAAGCATTCTAGGAAGATGATTGTTGGCTTTCACCCCAAATTTCAGCTTTCTACCTTTATTCCTTCATGGTCAGGTAAAAAACTTTTGGTATGCCCCACATATAATATATACATTGTATTTACTCCTTCACACCATCATCTGCCATCCGCCATCCGCTGACTTTCTGAGTTGTACAGTCCTTAATAAAACTAATATAAATTTGCCTCACCTTACCGCCAGCGAGCTGACCGTTAGAGGTACACACCCCACATGGCTCACAACATCCACTGGTTGACTACTTAATAATCTTTATTCCATGAAAAAAGCATAGAAATAGAGAGAGAGAAGACTCGGCTCTGAATACATAGTACATGTGCATCATGTACATGTATGCCAACAAAAAGACACTCTTCAAACACAGATCACACTGCAGAATCATTTTCCTTGACCTGTCCCCGGGGTTTTATGCACCCCATATAATTCAGCAAAATTGGATCATTTTTTTGCATAATTTCTTATTCTTTTCCTTTATCACTCTTTGTTAAAATTAACAGAATCGCATAATTTCACATTTTTGGGCTCAATTTGCATAATTTCAGGAAATTTTTTTGCATAAAACCTCGGGGACCACTTGACGTTGGGTAGTTGGGGCTATACAACAGAGGAACCCTGCTGCTCCACCAACTTCATGCTAATCCTAAAGGTGGCAGTATAAATGAGGTTTGACTGTACATATGTTGCATTACTTACATTCATACTGTTACTCAACAACTGTTTCACAGAATGTAAAGCTTTACTTGGTTACATACCCATGCCTTAACTTGTAAATAATGAACAATTACCTTCATATGTGATGATTGATCTTTATTTGCGCTTAGAATAATGGCGGATTCAGTTTTTAACACTCTGTTGTATTAACATTCTTCTTTTTACTCCATGTTGTTGTAATTACTTTGAGTGTTTAAAAAAAATAAATTTATCATTTCAGTTTGAGCATAATGTCAAAAGACTTGAAAGTCTCATGGTCGAGAGGTTCTGGTGTTCGCCTCTCATTCAACAGGTCACAGGTTCGAATCCAGACAACGATGGACAATTTTCTTCTCTAAAATTTTCTCCTTTCACCTCCTTTCCTGCTCTCTAACATTGTTCTGTCGTCTGCCTTCATCTCCACTTTCTGCCCCCACCCCACACCTTCTTTGCCCCCTCCTCTGGGCTGCTGACTCTTTCTGAGCCTTTCTACTGCTACTCATTGACTGCTTCTTTCTGCTGTCTTTCAGCCACACCCCTGATCTTATGGTAGGTAAGATCTACTCCTAGCCTTCTCGGACAAGGGCGAAAAATCTCAGATCTCCCATTTGCAAGTTGCGCAAGTTAAAAATCCCTTTGTGGTCTAAAATCAAAAAGAGTAAGCTTCGGCTGCCACCTGCGCAAAATTCAAAATTTCCTTCCAACTGAAAATGCTTAATGTGTCCCGCGCGCTATGACCTTGTGCAGTTGCGAGCGCCATAAAACGCTTACCACAACAACAACAAAAAAAAGACTTGAAAATATTGTCAGCAGATTAAATGATAGAATCTAACTGCCCTTATCATTATTTCAACTAGTTTCCCTCTATAGATTTTTTTTGTGTTCAAGTGGGTGCAAAGTGGCAACCAAAAGCTTTGAGTTTTTCAAGGTGCCATTTAGTTGACAGTCTACTGAGAAACGGCGGCCTGTTGTAACTCTTGCCTGATTGGCCACGGTAATGACAGCACTGGGGCAATTTAGATTAAAGATGGTGGCATTTACACTTCTGGTGTGTGGGTGGATAGATTGCTTTTTTTGTGTTAGACTCTGCTGTGCAAAGTATGGGTGACTTTGATTCACCCTTTATAAGGATACTAGAGGATAAGTTGCGCCACAAATTTTTGACCGCTCTATGAGTTCTAGCATTGTAGTAGTAAAATAACACAAAAACGTTCACAAATAGAAGCAAAAATCACTTTGTAAAGATTAAAAACAGGAATTAAGAACAATTAAATTTAAGTGCAAAGTAAGCAATGCAATGTCAAAATTTTCAAAAGTGAAAAAAAAAAGCCTAAATGGTATGTCATAAGTAAATCAAAATAAAATATTTGGAAACCTTATTTCCGTACAAGACTTTGGCCAAATACGTCATGAAGATGTAAGACTTTATGGAACCTTTTCTATCATTATCGTCATCATGAAGTGTCAAATCTAAAACCGACATCGCTATCATGGTTCTCCATTCCTTTCTCCGCTCTGATGCTCTAAAAAATCCTGTATTAATTTGGTGTTCCAAAGTCGGTTATCTGTTCAAGTTTTCCGAATAGGCCTACTTGTGTACATTATTTATAAGTTGTTCCAAGTCTACCTGTGCCTTCTTTGACTTTTGTTTTTTCCAGTGAGAGCAAGATGTATAAAGCTTTTATGGCTTTATGATGTCGAGTCTGGTGTCCTAAAAACTGTATAATGTATAAATTTGTCACATCTTATATAACATATTATGAATGAAAGGCCCACATGGGCTTCTTTCACTTTTTTCTTTCAGTACTTCCCCGTATGATTTCTTTCGTCTATGAAATTCTCAGGTCTCCTAAGAAACCACATTTCTGTTTCTTCTATCTTGGTTTCACTATCTCCTGTAATTGTCCTCCGTAATTTACAGCCGTATTGGCCACATGCATAGCCTTTTAGAACCCATATTAAATTCTTTAGTTGTCACCGGAATGTTTCTATTTTATTTGCTTATTTTATCGAAGTTGAAGCTGTCTTTAGCTGTTGTAATTCTTCGTTTTATTTGCTTGAACATTTTTGGCCTTTGGTGTAATGATCTATGCAGAATATTTAAACTATTAAGCTTGTTTGATCCTTTTCACCTTTGCTCATGTGATTACAAGAGATCAAACAGGCTCCACAATTTAAAATCTGGTATAAATAATTTAAACTCCACTCGCGATAATCCAATCCAATCTCATGTTTTGGCCCCCCGGGTAGTGCCACTCACTGTAGTGTCTTTTTTAGGCCATTCCCAAAGGGGGGACATTTCTCGTTCAAGCTCAGTAAAATTGTAAATGGGCTGATTCATGTCCCGCTCATAACTGTGCCTGATCTACAACAGGGAACTGCTGCTTTTTCTTTCCTAATCCTTACTATTGTCATTTTTCCACTACCTCTTTTGTATGTTTGTCACTCTCTTATGACCTGCTATTTCCGGGGTGCCTTGATAGTCGAAGCAGACCTTGTGCTGTTGAAGCTAGAGAGGTGAGCAGAATAAGTCTGATTCCCTGTAAAGACTTCTCTGTTGACACCTACCCCTTAACGCTCCTATGACCTTATGCAGTTGCGAGCGCCATAAAAGCCCTCTACTATTTTTTTTTTTTAATCTCATGTTTTGGTGTCTAGTTCAAAGTGAAGTTTGCTTACACGTTCCAAAGTTCTCACAGAGCGCATAACAATTAACATAATGTACAT